GTATAGGTCTTCAGTATACTATTGCCACTTTCTCTTTATTTTCTCCTTGTCAGATTGTGTGCTTCCCTGTTAGTGTTTCAGCATACCTAATCTAGGTTTAAATTTCCTTTTGATTTCTTGGTTCTTCTGAAAGAGATCTCTTGTTTTTCCTCTCTTTTCTGTTTGTTTTTGTTCTCTCTTTGCACTGACTGTTGTCATAGTTCTGTTGGTCTCTTCTACCAAGGAAATGGGAACAAGATTTTATCCTTCCTGTTGCAAGGTGCTTGTCTGCTGTAGACACACCAAGCTACTCCTCAGTAGCTTGTCCTGTGGACAGAACTGGGAAAAGTTACTTTTGAGGAGTTGGGACTGCATCCACTCGTATCCCCTGAATCCTCGTATCTGACAATCTTAGTCTCAAAAAGTAAGTTTTCCAAGCTCTGCCAGCAGAGATACTAGTGACAGAAGTACAAACTGCATTGCATACACAATCAATCTTTCAGATGTTGGGGTAAAAAAATAGAGGAGACATGGAAAGTTTTTAACATTCTTACAGAAAAGGAGGGAGCGGAAGTAGGACAAAAGAGGAGCTGCTGTTTGTGATGTTCAAGCATTCATTACAAGAACTTTACAGCCCAATTTTGTTACATAGTGTGTTTCAAGAAAAGAGTGTGTCGGCCAATCAAGTGATGGCAGAACAGTTCCCTCCCTTCTCTTGGCAGGCCCTGCTGTATCTTCCTTTCCCCTTGCTTGAGTGATGGCTTTTCTCTGGTCCCAGGTTCAAAGGAAACAAGAAAAAGACCAGCCCTGGGTGGTCTCCCTCAGAAAGGAGGGTCAGGGCAGGAAGAGATGCTCCTGGCTGTTGCCACCCCCACTGAGGGCCAGATGTTGGAAAGAAAGAGCCAGAGAGGGAGGGGGGAAAGGGGGAGGGAAGAAACCTGTAACCAAGATCATAGGAATGTGTGTATGTGTGTGTGTGAGGGGTTCCACATGAAAGGAAGGGAAAGAGACTGGCAAGAATTGCTGATATCCATGTGAGAGCCGGAAACACAATATTCAGTCTTTAGCAGGCAAATCTTTAAGGCCCCTGATTCACATACTTTCTGGCACTTCCAACTGAACAAAGAATTAACAAGGAATAGGCCATGAGCTCCCCGAGATTAAATGCAAGAGAGGGTGATTCCTTTTATTGGATTATTGTTAAATAAACAAATGACAAGCTTTCGTGGATGAAATCCACTTCCTCGGGCTCTAAAAGCACAACTCCATCATGACTGGTGTGGAATAATTGTAGACAAGAGTCCAAAAACATTTAAATGTTTTAGTGGTCCAATATAAAGCATCACCCTCTCTTGCATTTGTGAAAAAAGAATTAGGCAGCAGCATGCCCAGAGAAAGCAGGCCGCGGCTGTCGCTCAGGATGGCATCAGCAGCAGAGAAGGAAGGGGAAGAGGCAGTAGCCCACGTTTGGAAGGCGATGAGAGCAGAGGGAAGGGGATGGAGGGCGAGCTATGCGGATGGGGTGGGACAAAATGTACATGGTAGCTCTTAAAGAGGAAGGATGGATCAATCTAAGTAGGAACACATGTGCGCTCCGCCGTTTGGCTGGAACCAAACTATATCAAGAGTGATCTGTATACTGATCTACTGTATATGCCAGTCTGGGCGGGCCCATAGAGACAGGAATTAAATGCAACCTTCTTCCATTAAAGCCAATACGTATCTTGCTATTGATTTCAATAGAGGGATTGCCGGCTGAATGCTGACCTACTTCTTAAGCACCGTACTTCCTACACAGACATTTTCAGTGAAAGAATCAAACAGTTACAAGTTTAGCTTCCATGGAATAGGTAAGCTACTAAATGTTGCTTTGATGAGCATTTATAAGTAATCAAAATGTAACTGGGTAACTTTGGAAACAGCCTCTTATTTGCAGAAAACTGCTAGGATTGCCGTTTAAGATATTTGGATTTGGGAAAAGGGCAATGATGAACAGCAAGTTTCTGTGGCACATTAAATGAAGAGCAATTTCTTTTGAGAGCATGTGTCATTTTTCCCTATTTTATCCTAGCCATATATTATAGAGGTAGTATCTACAGAGAGAGAGAGAGAGAGACTTTTAAAGCAAAAGAATTTGGGTCTTTGATATGTTTCTCTGAAGTGGAGAGGCAGTAGAGTATGGGAAAATCACTTATTTGAATAAAGTCCCTGAAGTCACATAGCCTGCATGGCCAATGACCATCTTGCCTGGGGGAGTCTGGGAGTTTTATTCCAAAAAATAAACTTTTTGAAGGTTTGAGACACCCTGGCATGTTACTTGGTGCAAGTGGAACAAAGAAATTAGCCTGTAAGTTGTTCTGAGGATCAAGGATAACTACCAACAAGGAGGTCTGAAATCCAGGAAAGGCATTACTCAGTCTGGGTGGAGAAATGTGATTGCTACAGAAAATAAAATGCTCAGATGGTATGTAGATGACATGCTTTATGGCCTCATTAAAAAAAAAGACTCTTGCCACCCTTTTATCAAAACTCAAAGTTACATTCTCTTGCTTCATGAATCTGTTGTGGCTTTTTTCCCTTATCATTCTTCTGTTAATAATTTGTAGACCATTGTACTCATTTATAGAGAGAAGGTAACAGTTTGTATTCAAACCCTCCTCGCCAAACCTTTCTGGCAATAGGTTCAGCTTCACTTGGCAAAACCTTTTCCAGACTAAAGAGTTTTCTTTATCTGTATACAGAAACAAGCAGTCCTTGTTTTAATACTGAGAGCCTTTGACTAATGATTCAGCGTGACATGGTTCTCATAGGACATGTACTTCAGTCCATTGGTCTGGTTAACCCAGGACTGACTATTCTAACTGCTGGCAACTTTTTGTTACAATACCCTTTCAGAGTGAGGAAGGCATGGCTTTCCAGACGTTAATGAGCTGTCTGGAAATTAAAGTCCCATTGTCTCTTGTCACTGGCCATACTGGCTGAGCCTGCTGGGGACAGAGGTTTCACCAGTCTAGAGAGTCACTCGTTCTCCACTTCAGGTTAACAGAAAATGTCAGGAGGTGCTCTTGGACAAAAGGGTTCCCAACATGGGTAGCACCAGTGTTGGGACTGCAACTCCCGGACACCCCAGTCAGTGCAGTCCAGCTGGTGAAGACTATTGGGAACTGCAGGCCAGGAACACCTGAGTTAGCCAAGGTTGGGAACCACTGCCCTAGACCTCTGCTTCTAAGGCATGTTGCTCTACCTCTGTGAGTTACAGCCATTTCCAGGAACCTTTTATAAAATCTATCTTTAGTGAGTGTATGCATAAGCGGATGCATATTCAGCATAATGTCCAAATGAGACACCTGTTTCACTCAACTTAGAAACAGGCACTTGAATGCATCCACTTTAGACATCTCTCTAAATACATCACAGTCAAAGGGGCTGAAAGCTAAATACAACCCCACATGCACCATACTTTTCAGTGTTACTCAGTGTATCAGGATGATGTATAGGCTCTCGGACAAATCTATTGCCAGATGTTAGAATTTGCTATTAAATTTCACCCCCCTTCAGTGGGATTTACTTCTCAGTAGATAGTTTAAGATTAGTGCATCAGGAATATCCCCCCCACCTCCAAAACAAGCAAACAAAAAGCAACTACATCACAAATCCATTGCAGTAAGACTCCCAAAGGGTGTAAAGACAATGATCAAATCAGTTCTAAAGGCTCAGCCACACTTTTTGCACCCTGTTTTTGCTGCTGTTTTGTTCTTATGTGGTGGCGCTGCGGGTTAAACCGCAAGCAAAAACAGGGTGCAAAAACTGTTCTTATGTGGTGGCGCTGTGGGTTAAACCGCAGAAGCCTCTGTGCTGCAAGGTCAGAGGACCTGCAGTCGTAAGATCGAATCCACGCGATGGAGTGAGCCTCCATCGCTTGTCCCAGCTCCCACCATCCTAGCGATTCAAAAGCATGCAAAACGCAAAATGTGAGTAGATAAATAGGTACCACCACGGTGGGAAGGCAACGACATTCCAACGATTGCCTTTGAACAAACGCTAGCTCTATGGGTTGGAAACAGAGATGAGCACTGCCCCCTAGAGTCGGACATGACTGGACAAATTGTCAAGGGGAACCTTTACCTTAACCTTTGCTGCTAGATCAGCCAGAAAGGCAATGGAGTTTCTTGAACTGATCTATCTGCTTGTTGGAGGACATCAGCAGTTGGAGGGAATGGATAGGAATCAAAGACATCTAGTGCCAGCTTATCAATGAAGGAGAGCATAATTAGGAGGAAAAATCAGTATATACAATATATGCGCATGCTAAAGCAAAAGTTGTTTTGCTTTGGCCACATCTTAAATGCACAGGCAACTATTTCAAAGTTGGATGCAAATGCACTGGTACACCTGTATGGAGTTTTTTTGCTTAAGCCAGAAACTGCATGGCAGACAAACTAACAACCTGTGACTCACCCTCCCTATTTCTGATTTGTTTCTCTTCTGCCTCATTCGTCATTTGTTGTTTGAAGAAAGCAGCTGAGGTAAACCATGATTGCAAGTCTGGGCATGATTACAAGCCATAGTTTAAGCTTTTTTTCTTTTCATTTTATTTCTACCTTACCTTTCTCCCAAGAAAGGGAAAAGACTCAAGATGATTTACAATATTTTTAAGACAGAGCTCAGAAGCCTTTGTTGAAAAGCCAGCAACTTGGAATGAAAGTTTTTGTTCAAAAGCCAGTGAGAAACAATGGGCTCGGATTATGATTTGGAGCTGACTAATAAGCCGAATTTTTTTTAGCAGAGATGGTTGTGCATATCATAAAATCACAATTAGTATTCCTCAAACCTCACCACAACTTGTCCTGATATGCAGTAAACACAATCTTATAGATCTAAGAGATTTAGTAAACAGTCTTTTCGATCTTTGCTCTTTCAGAGTGGCCTGTATTTCCATTGCATGTTAGTTTCAAATGATTACAAATCAAGGAAGGACATGTAACGGTTTCATTATATGGGATTTCAAATGACATGCTCACCTGATTCCTTAGATATTCCATCTCTGTTTAAGCTCACCAGATTGTCCTATGTCTGATAGCTATTGGAGAGCGACACAAGCCGATTGGGCCTATCTTGAATTCTAGAGCCTAATGAATTTTAAGTGTATAGAATCCTTAAGGATTCTCCATTTGAGTCAATCTACTGCAACTTTCTTCATTTTTGGTGGTATCACTCCCTTTTCAAAATCTTAATTTTGTCCTTCTTCTCCAGTCATTTTCCCCACAAAGCTGGCCTCCATCCCTCTTGACTGCCCCTAGGTCCTATTGCTAAAAGGTTTCATTATGCCATCATCCCCGGGAAAGCTATGACATTTCCAGAAGTATTTGTGATCACATTTGCAAGAGGAAATGACAAGATGAGATGAAATGAGAAAGAAATGACAAGACAGATATGTTTCGTATCTCGGGAGCTGGCAAGTTAAATATTTGCTGGAGGAGCATAAGAACGTAAGAAGCCATGCTGTGACAGAATGAAGCCCTGCCTAATCTAGCATTCTGTTCACACCGAGGCTAACCAGTTGCCCATTGGAAGCAGAATATGTAAGAAGGTATTGTGTTCCATTATACTCTTTTCAAGAAATGAGACACTTCCTCAGCAGTGCTGTGTGGTCTACTTTTCTTTCGGAAAGTCTGCACTGAATACTTAATGGTGCCCTAAAACTGGTTGGTTAGGCAACAAGAATTGCTACCATCTGTAGCAAATGCCTTCAAGCATTTAATATCTATTAAGTGACTGTTTTATTAGATTCAGTATGCTTTATATTCTGCCTTTTCCCCAGAAATGGGACTTGAGTCAGTTTGGAACCAGAGCCATTTTGAAAAGTACTGTATAAATAAAAGTACAGAAATATTAAGTATAACAATATATTTGCCAACAATGCAAAAAAGGCAGATGTAATACAGAAGTATAGTCTCCAAATCCTCTGTAGTCCTAGTTTCCCTCTATTCAGCACTGGTTAGGGTTCATTTTGAGTATGTGTCTGGTTGTGGACACCATTCTTTAAGAAAGATGCCATGAAACTGGAACAAGTTCAGAGGAGGATGATAAGGATGATCAGGGAACTGGAAACCAAGCCCTGTGAGGAAAGACTGAAAGAACTGGGCATGTCTAACCTTGAGAAAAGAAGACTGAGGGGAGATAGCACTTTTCAAACACTTGAAAGATAGTCAGAAGGAGGAGGGGCGGGATCTGCTCTTGATCATCGCAGAGTGGAAGACATGATAATGGGCTCAAGTTACAGGAAGCTAGATTTCAGCTGAATATCAGGAAAAACTTCCAAACTGTTAGAACAGTACAACAACGGAACCAATTACCTCAGGAGGAGAACACTCCAATACTGGAGACATTTAAGAGAAAATTAGACAACCACTGTCAGATATACTTTGATTTGGATACCTGCATTAAGCCTTATAGGTCCCTTCCCATTCCTTTATTCTGTGATTCTATGATAATAGAACACAATTAAACAGTTGTGATATTGAAACACAACTGAACCTAAAACCACATAAGCAAAAATAAGTATGCCCATGGCCAACTGAAAGGCCCTTTCTCAGTAGCTACTCCACTGGCAAAAGCCAATCTGAATAAAAATACAGTGGTGCCTCGCTTAACGAGCGCACCATTTAACGATGAATCCGCATAGCGATGTCGCTTTTGTGATTGCAAAAGCGATCGCATTGCAATGTTTAGATAGGCAAAAGCTCGCATTGCGATGTTTTTACAACAGCTGATCGGCGGTTCCAAAATGGCCGCCGAGTGCCCAAAATGGCCGCTGCAAGTGTTTTCGCGCCCTGCCTTCGCTTACCGAGGGCACGAAAATGACAGCGCTATGGAGGAACTTCACTGAACTTTGATTTTGGGCCCCATAGGAACGCATTAAACTAAGTTTAATACGTTCCTATGGGGTTTTTCGATCCGTTTAGCGATGTTTTTGCATAGCGACGATTAATCTGGAACAGATTAACGTCGCTATGCGGGGCACCACTGTATGTTTGCCAGTTGGTGGAAGGGCAACAGGGAGCCTAACCAAAAAAGAGTTCCCATTGCCTACGTGCAGCCACCAAGAAAGCTGCAATTCACAAAGTAACACCAAGCAAGAGAACATTGCAGAAGCTGACTCCTTTTTTCCTCAGCTAACCACTTCTCATCCAAACACAAAGTGACTGTCAAGGCTGTGTTTTTGAGAAGTGTGAATAGTAGTGAGCCCAAGAGAGTATCCTGTAGAGTCAGAACACATGTGTCAAACTCAAGGCTCACTGGGCTGTTTCATTTGGCCCTCACAGTGTTGCCTGCTACTGTGCGGAATATAAAAGACAAACAAGATCTAGAGAAACTGGGTCTAGCTACAGATTGGTGGCCAATGCTTAAATTAAAATCCAGATATAAAAAGGATAACATTACGGGCTTTTTTGAGGGAAAAGTCCAGGTGAATGAATTATGGATATACATTAATGAGAAAATAATCAAAAACATTTATACACACTTATTGGAATATGACTTGGAGGATGAGAGGGTGAAGGAGATGATCGTAAAATGGGCACAAAATTTTGGGTACATTATTGATATTGATGAATGGACAAAGTTGTGGAAAGAGAATCATAAAATGATTAAGCCAGTTAATCTTAGAGAAAATCTCCTTAAAATGTTTCATAGATGGCATTTTACCCTGGTAAGATTGGCAAAAATGTTAGAAGGTAACAGCAATGTTTGTTGGAAGTGTAAAAAAAAAAAATCCAGGGACTTACTATTATATGTGGTGGTCCTGTGAAAAAGCAAAAAAAAAAAAAAAATGGATACAGGCTTGGGAAATGGCAAAATAAATTGTTCAACAAAAATTAAATTTTAAACCTAAAATGCTATTATTGAATATAATGCCAGAAATTATAGACAAGAAAATAATATAGTCTACTGTATGTATTTACAGCAGCTAGGTTACTCTGGGCCCAAAAATGGAAGAATGAAGAGACACCAACGATGGATGAGCTATTAAAGAAGCTACTGGACATTGCAGAATTGGACATGCTCTCAGAGGCACTACAGGATCAACCAAGAGACTTAATAAAGCAAAGTTGGAAGCTGATACATAATTGGGCCCAGAAAAAGACAGGAGCTTAGGGCGAAACTTAATACAGTATATAGCGAACTCAGTGCTCACTGGAATCCTCTTGAAGACATTCAAGATCCAGAGGACGGTGAAATCTCTGATCCGTGGGGGAAGGAAGGATGGTTAGCTGGTAGTTTTTCTTTTTGTCTTTTTGTCTCATTAAGTATATGTTAGATTCTTAATGTTTTTAAGTTTGTATATTATAATAAAAATATAAATATATATTTTTTAAAAAATTAATTGTTTCACTTTATTTGCTGAGGGACGTGGTGGCTCTGCGGGTTAAACCGTAGAAGCCTCGGTGCTGCAAGGTCAGAAGACCAGCAGTTGTAAGATCGAATCCACACGACAGAGTGAGCTCCTGTCGCTTGTCCCAGCTCCTGCCAACCTAGCAGTTTGAAAGCATGCAAATACGAGTAGATAAATAGGTACCACCAATGTGGGAAGGTAACGGCATTCCATGTCTAGTCACACTGGCCACGTGACCACAGAAACTGTCTACGGACAAACGCTGGCTCTACAGCTTGGAAACGGGGATGAGCACCACGCCCTAGAGTCGGACACGACTGGACTAAATGTCAAAGGGAACCTCTACCTTTATCTTATTCACTGAGACTAACTTTCAGGAACATAGGATTGTAGCCAACACTTTGCTGCATTATCTCTCAAGCAGAGAGTGACAACTCTTGTTTTTATGGGGCCAAACAGAGAACACTCTAAGCAGACATCATTGTCTTCATTATTTCCATAGTTACCTGAGCAATCTAAACCCTGATACAGTGTTTGAGGTGAGACAGCCTCTTCTGTCCTCATATTTTTGCAATAATTCCAGTATCAACTAATCCTAATCCTAGGCTGGATGAATGAACTGTCACTGCAGGCTATTATTTTCTTGGATTTTCATGCAATGTTTGTTCCCAGACTTGAAAAATGACCATTATGAAAACAAAAACAAATACTTTAAAGCAGCCATTCTCAACTTCTTCTTTTTTCCCCCATGGCCATAAACACAATATAAAAGAAATACAGGCCTTGTATAAATCAGGATTGTATAAATCACAAATCAAACCTTATAAGGTGGTGTGTGAAGAATTGTTTGCAGTCTGTGGCCCCTTTCAAATGTGCCCCAGCCCCCCTCCCCAGGCCATACGGCCCCCTGTTGAGAATGGCTGCTTTCAAGCACTATAGAATACTTTTTTAAATGGGGAGGGGCTTTAGAAGCAAAGAAGTATTGGGCATCTCTAGCAATTTGGAAGTAAGGGAGGAAGGGAATGTGTGACATCTGCCCGTTATGCTGTTTATTATGTAGCAGTCCTAAAAATTTTTTAAAAAAACTAAATAGTTTGGGGGTTGATTATTTTATACGTCACAGAAGCTAAAGTGTTCTTTGTTCCTTACTTAGTTTGTGGTCCTTTATGTGCTTCATTCAATGTATTTTCTACTGAATACAAAGGGACTTCATCACTGTGTAAACATGCAGACGGTCAGGCCTCTGCCATGTAAGAAGGCATCCTGACTCTCTGCATGAAACTGAAGGAGATTAACTGGACTCTGGAGCGGTGAGAATATGTTTCTGAAATGTTCCTTAATGGGGCAGCATATTTATGATCTTGATATGTAAATGTTATAGATGTGACATTGTTGTAGCCTAGATCAAACCAGGTACTGTATTTTTATGTACTGTACAATGGTTCCTGCAGTATTTTTATATTTGAACATTTTCAGACGTTACTTATGGTCGTCTGCCCCTGATGTACCTTAGAATCCTGCTTTCTGCCTATATGGCTAACTAAAACATACGTTCAAGAGCTACTTGTGAAGTTCTACCAGATCAGGCTTGGTAAACATGCCATGGATGGCCCAAAGAAGGGGTGCTTTTGGTCACCCTAGCCATGCAACAAGAAGTAAATATTTCACTGCTGTCTGTCCTTCCAGCATCGTGTATTAGTCAGTGGTACTTGCTACAGGAAAACCCCAAAGTGCTCCAAACCATCACCTCAATTTTCTTTTGGGCTGTTTTCTATGGCAATATCACCACACCAATATATCAGAATATTTTATCAGCCAGGAAAGCTGGAAAGGCATTTCGTCGAATTGCCTCCCTACATAGCTAAACTACAATTTATCAAAGTTTTGTGTGTCAGTTTCACAATGCTA